GGGCAGGGGCTGCTGACCCTGCAGATCTCGTGTGTGGGCCCCGCAGAAGAGAGGCTGCCCCACTCCCCGACCCTCCAGGACTCCAGGAAAGCTCCAGGGCCAGGAAGCAGCCGTAGAGGGGAGGAAGGCAGAGGCAGGAGGCAAGTCAGAGCCCCCCTCCAGTTGGCTTAGACCATGGGGCAGGGCAACCCACACACGGGAGGACCCAAAACCGCTAGCGGGACTCAGTGCCGCTCCAAGGGCCAGAGAGAGGGAGGTGGGCCATGGGCTGACAACCTCGCCCTCTAGACCGAGCACAGGGAAGAGCCGGGCTGCGCCCCAGGGCTGACCCCTCTGGGTCACAGCCTCGGCCGTGAAGGATCAAAGTGCATGTGAGGAGGGGAGCACAGGTGAGGGGTCTCTCATCCACATCTGGCTCTGCAGCGGGGTCTTGCTCAAACACTGCCGTCTCAGGAAAGAGTGGGTGATGTGGACATCAAGTCGTACACGTGTGCTGCAGACAACTCGGTGTCGCCAGGTGGGTGATACTCTGGGATCCCTGCCACGGTCCTCTCCGGCATTTCCTTGATTCCCTGCATTTGAGGTGGCTCCCAAGTCTCAGGCCAAGCAAAGCCCTGGGCCTGGACTTGCCCCGGTACCCCTACAGAGGGCCGTGGTTGGGCTCATGTCTGGCTGACATTTGCAGGCAGCACAGGCTGCAGATCTCAAGTCCATCCTTGTCCAGGCAGTGTGGGGAGAAACAGGGTTGGGCAAGGTGGCAGGTGCACGGGCTTGAGGCTGGAAGATGCCTGGGTTTCTAGTAGTTAGTGGCTATGTGACCCTGAGCAAGTGTGGAACCTTTGAGCCTCAGCTGTTAAGTCTGTGAAATGGCCCTGCGAGAGGTACAGTGTGCTGAGTGTTGGATGCAGAGCAGGTGTCTGGTGAATGACTGGTCTGTCTGGGGCAGCACCCACCCAGCTCACTCCCCCGCCCCTCCTCCGCACCTTGTCTGAGCTCTTCCTAGATGCTACAGTGCTAGCTTGGATTCTCCTTGTCTCTCACTGAACTGTGACAGCCCAAATGGGCAGTAACTTGGACCTGTCCACCATTGGCTCCTTGGCAGGTGGAACAATGCGTGGCTCACAGTGTGCAAAAGCACAGGTGGATGGGTGGATGAATAAATGAATGTGTGAATTAATGAACAAATGAATGACAGGAAAATTACATGAGCAGCTTCTTTGATAGGAAGACCCAGGAGGCAAAGAGATTCAGAAAAACATTGGAAGACAAAGGAAGCTGTAAGCGGGCACGTACAGGATGGTCCCCACTATTCCACGGCCTAAAAGGTGAACAGCAGAATATCCGGGCATCTCAGTGGTGGTGGTGATTTTCATCTCTATGTTTTTGCTTTTTGGCTACTAACTTCCACCGAGGCCATGTGTCACTTGTGTCATTAAAAAACAACAACAACAAAAGAAGAATGAAAGAAAACCAAATGAGACAGAGAACAGAAGCAGGGCTGTGTTAGGAAGAGACCCCACATGCCTCTGGGGGTCTCACACCTGCCCTGGAAGAAGACCTGAAAGCTCAGCACTCGGGCTGGCACCTGCTGGCTGGTTCTGGCCCTCAGAGCAGGCCTATGCCCCTGAGAGGAGTCACTGCATTACAGAATGATAGGGCTCCTTCTCCAAGACCGTCCATATTTCATGAACTCCTCCCACTTGCCCTTTCCAAGAAGATGCGTCCTTCATGGGTACAACTACACAGGATTTCTGGTTCGTGTCTGTTTAAGAGTTTTCCTGATAAAAAGCTCTTAACAGGCCAACTCCCCTCTTTTCAGCTCAATGTAGCCTCTTTGATGACAGCTGCCAGGGTCTGTGTTTTAGGATGGAGGTCCTGGGAGGTGGAGTCCACCTCCACCGCACCCTGCATGTGGAGACACTATAAATATTTGCTGTGCTAAATCAGACTTCAAGAAGAACTTTTTTCTTTGTGTGAATATTGTTACTGAATTTTTATATTACCTAATACCCTCTGCAGAGAAGAACTCACTCCCAGCATATTAATCTGGTATAACTGGACTACAAACTGAACCCTCAAGAAAATCCCACCCCTGTATGTTGTCTGATCAAAGTGAGAGGAAACATTCTGCTCTCCTCGCCATTTGTCTCCTGGGTGTGTGATGAGGGAAAAACGAACTGCTGGGATTGTCCTCACCCAAAGTTTTTAGCTGTAGAGCTTCGTTCAGCATTAATAAAAGCTCCTTTATCTGGCTCCCAGTTCCTTTAGAATTGGGTTTATTTTCCATGTAGCCTGCCTTGTGATCTGCAGACACTCCAGGTGTCCTCTGTTGGAATGTTGTGGTCGGAGTGATGGAAGGCAACCACTTTCAAAGCCTTGCCTCGGACGGGGACTTGACAGCAGCAGAGCCTGTCCTACGGCTGTGTTTGGATAGGGCATCGTTTGCCCACCCCAAGAGGAGCCCTCTTCTGCCCTCGATGTACAGGAAAGAAGCTACTAATGCAAGCATGTGTATTTTTAGTTCCAGTTCGAACTGAAGAATCAAAGCCTGCTGGGTCCTTGCTCTTCCTTGCTGCTGCAGATAAGTAATCTGGGAGCAGCATGGTTTCTTGTCTTGCGCATGCCCGGCCATGCAACATGGAGAACGGGCTGCCTGAGGGACTGGGACCATGAGAGCTTGGCACTGCGCATGGAGCATGGAGGCTGAAGATGAGGCGCGAAGTGGGAGGCTGCTGTGCTCTAGGCGGTGCGAGGAGGGTCTGCACATCAAACTCCTGCAGTACCCAAAAGAAGCAGGCTGCATGCAGGGGGCCCCCGTCTGGGAAAGCACGAGCGAAGGAAGGAAAGCACACCTGGCCCCACTGTAACCAGAGGCCACTCGATCACAGTTGGACTTCTATGACCCCCTGCCTTTGGGAATAGCCAGAACCTCGCCAGGACGGGAGCTTCAGTTCATCCATCCCCAGCAGCTCATCACGGGCTTGGGTGCCCAGCATGGTGACCGCCCCTCCTTCCTCAGCAACAGAACTCCTCCCGTTTTCTGCCCCAGCCACACCAGCCTCTCACATCCCTGCAGGCTCAGTCTCTCTTGAGCCACAGGGCCTTTGCACAAGCTGTTTCTTATCCTGGAACTCTCTTCCCTGCAGGTCCCTATCTCAGTTGAAGCCTCCCTTTTTGAGGCAGCCCTTCCCTGACACCTGCCTCAATCCACATCCCACCCCCACCCTAAGCACTCACAGCCCCGCGGGTCCTTCTGCATGACACACGTCACAGCTGCACTTCAACTGTTTACCACCACCTACTATGAGCTGGGCATCATGGACAATTGTTTTGTTAGCGTCTGTCTCTCCCTAGATCACCAAATCTAGGAATGCCGCTGTTCTGCTCATCCCCAGAGCCTGGCTACAGAGCAGGGTGCTGTCAGTGTTTGTCAAGTGACTGATACATCACCTAGCCCCATCTTACTCCCCCTCCTTCCATTGATACAAGGGAAGACACAGCAAGAATTTTTAACCAATTCAAATATCTAGTCTCTCAAGGAGAGATCACAGCTTATGCAACACTGAGCACGCCTACGCCCAGCGACATCTGGATTCAGTGCCATTTTGTGGGGCAGAAAGTCGCGTGGCTGCGTGGCTTTGCCCTTCGTGCTTCAAGGCAACAGGTGAGAGACCATGGTGATGTGTAAGAAGCCAGGTGCCCGTGACAGCGTGGATGGTCACAGAGAAAAGGGCCGCGGATGATCTACAGTTGTCAGAGGAGTGCTCGTGCTAGAGCTATCTCTGGGATCTTAGACCAATAGCAAACGCAAAACCCTCAGTACTGACACTCCTGCAGCCAAATCATCTTAGCCTGGAAACCCAGCCCAACGCCATCTTCCCCACCAAAGTTATTTGTGAAGACAGGACGTTTCCTCAGGATGCAGCCACCCAGAGCAAGCCTGAGGACATGGAGGCCACAGCTCTGCCACCCAGAGCAGCCCCGCCCAGACAGGAGGATGTGGGGGACACAGCTCTGCCCCAAGAGCAGAGCTGCCTGCATGTGGCCTCTCCGGGCTGGGCACCCGCCTCTTGAAGGGAGCATGTGACTCAGTGGGCTCAAGCCCAACAGCTTATAGCCTCACACTGGGAATCCCAGGCCCAGATGCCACCTGACCATGTCCCGCTACCTCACCGCAGAGCTGCCTGAGGAGCCACCACCCACCCAGCACACGCGCCGGGTCGTCAAGGAGACATGGCACAGGACAGCCGGTCACAAGGCCGGGAGGTCAGCTCAAGTTCTGACCCATTCTCCCAGGAAGGCCACAAGGACACATGGGTTCGGACATCACAGGGGAGGAGACTCCTCCAAGGTGAGAAATTCATGCCCTGGTTTTAGGCACTAATGGGTTGGGGTGCTCACTAGTCCTTCTTGGAAAGAGAGTCGGACCGTGTGCTGTGCACAGGGTCAGAGGTGTTCCCTAGGGGCAGGCAGAGGGGTTCTTCTTTCACAGCCTGTTTCTGGGGTGTCTGACAGACTTGGCAGGCCCAGCTGAGGAGCCTGGACATCCAGGGGCCCCAGCACCACCCTCCAAGGTCCATCCACCTGGCCTGTCTGGGCCCCAAGAGTGACAGAGGCTACAGGCAGGAGGCCAAGGCCTCTTTCTGTTGCCTCTCTGAGGAAAGGAGGCGAGCCAAAGAGACAGAAGGCAGAGCAGAGCGAGGACAACCCAGAGTCTAGGTCCACCACCCCTGCTCACCCTGCCCGTGGGGAAGGCGTCTCGAAGCTGGAGCTTCTGGTCCCACTGACGACCCACGTGACGTCTGCCCAGCAGACCCTCTGATGAGGTACACATTCTTCCCTTCCCCTCCTCCCCCAGACTGGACCGCACAGCCCAGAACGCCAGGTAAGAGCCTCTTTGATTTCCTGCATGTCTACACAGGCTGTGGCCCTGAGTCTTGGAAATGATCCCCCACAACCAGCAAGCTGGATGCCTCCGGGAAAAGAAGGGAGCGCCTTACCTGCTCCTGGGAATTCAGGACACGCAGCTTCATCTGCTTCAGGTACGTGGAGGTGAGAGGCATGTTGTAATCAATGATCCCGGAGACCAGAGGAGATGGGGGCTCGCTTTCTGGCAGAAAGAACAAAAGGGAAGCCCTTTCAGTCTGTGCTGGGCCTGTCACCCACACCGTTTCACCAGGGAGCCTGTGGAGGAAGAAGTGGCTCTGAGAATGGGCAGGGGGGAGGTGTGGGCTGGTGGCGTCCCCACCATGTCTGGCCCACAGACATGGGCTGCATGGTGCTGAGAAACATACCCGATCAGTGTCAGTGTTTCAGAGGCCTAACATGTTAAAAAATGACTTTTGACCGGGCTCAGTGGCTCAGCCTGTCATCCCAGCACTTTGGGAGGCCGAGGCAAGTGGACTACCTGAACCCGTGAGTTTGAGACCAGCCCGGGCAACTTGGTGAGACCTCATCTCTGCTTCCAAGTAGCCTGTAGTTTTGGCTACTTGGAAGGCTGAGGCGGAAGGATCGCCAGAGCCCAGCAAGTTGAGGCTGGGGTGGCTGTGAGTATGCCATGGCACTCCAGGCTGGGCGGCAGAGTGAGACTCCAACTCAAAAAAAAAAGTGACTTTCTGGCTTCTTAGAAAAATGGAGTATCTGACCATGTGGGACCCCACCCCGATGGCGGGTAACCACCGCAGCTGAGCAGTCCTCACTCTGCCAGGAGGGTTGTGTGCGCTCCATCCTGCCACAGACCACCCTAGTCCTCATTGTACTGCACATCTTTGCTGTGTTGTGATGCTTGCCAGGACCTTGAAAGCATGCACGCTTCCAACCCTGGTGAACACGTGCCTCCCCCAGTCCACCCCCACCCCCAGCATCCCTCAGAAGCACCCTCAGGCATCACATAGCTCAGGGTGCAGCACCCCCGAGTTCTCATCACATGCAGAGTGGCTCTGCCCCTCCCATTTACTGCCTTTCTGTCCTAAGATCAAGGCAATGCATATTCTTCTTGTAGAGAATTTGCAAAGTGCAAAAAGATGTAAAGAACAAATGTAGAGCCATGGCTGCACCAAGCAAGTCGGCATGTGCTTCTGTGCTTCTGTTGATGGTTTCTCTGTGGTTTTCCTCTTCATGTACTTGCTATCACAGTGCAAGCAGGGAGCCACAGTCTGCTTTTACAAAGTTTTTTTTTTGCTTAGCATTTTGTCACAGGCATTTCTCCCCCCATCGAGAATCTTGTTTTGCTTTGTCAATATAATTTCTATGGCTGTGTAATGTTTTACCATAATCTACCTAAATCACTCCCTTGTGATTAGTTCTTCAAGGTGTTTCCTATTGGCTACTATAAACAACACTGCAGGGAACATCTTTGCACATAAAATAGCAGTCTGAATTTCTGCTCTTTGCCCTTCTGGAACAGATTCCAAGACATAGAGTTCATGGATTAAAAGGTAGTTGATATGGAAGGTTGAGGTGGAAGGATTGTCTGAGCCCAGCAGACTGAGGCTGTGGTGGCCGTGAGTGTGCCACTGTACTCCAGCCCAGGCGACAAGCGTGAGACTTCAACTCAAAAAAAAAAAAAAAAAGGTATTTGATAACTCCCCACATCTCTGGCTGCGCTGTCAGGGAGGCGTCTCAATGATCTGCTCCCTGCCCTCCTCACCCCGTTTCCAAAGACCCCAGGCCAGGTTGACTTTTCCCAAGGCCTTGGAACAAAATGTTCCATGGATGGGCTGGAATTTGAGCAGCATGAGAAAAAGTGGGAGCGACTTCTAGACCAGCCAGAGTCTGCCCTCCACTGTCACCACCATAGCCAAGGACAAGCTGAAGGGGAGACGAGTGGCAGGACTGAGGGAGGAGAAATGCATCTGAGGGCAAGCTGCTCTCTACCTGCCTCTCCAGAGCCACAGCCCAGACCAGAAGGGTTCCCGCAGCCCTGGAAACGTAGGGCCCCATGACAGTAGCCGGATACCAGAGGCTTAACTGGTACAGGGCTTCTGTTGGGGGTGACAAAAAGTTTGGAAACAGATAGTTGTGACGCTTGTTCAACAGTGTGACCATAACACCTTAAAATGGGACAATTAAAGGTTATCTAACATTTATGTGACATTTTAGGTCAAGCTCGGTGGCTCAGCCTGTAAGCCCAGCACTTTGGGAGGCCGAGGTAAGTGGATTGCCGACACCTGCGGGTTCAAGAACCGCCCGGGCAATTGATGAGACCTCATCTCTACAAGAAATAAAAAATTAGCCGGGTGCGGTAGCACTTTCCTGTAGTTCCAGCTACTTGGGAGGCTGAGGCGAAAGGATCGCCAGTGCCCAGCAGGTTGACACTGGGGTGGCCATGAGTGTGCCACTGCACTCCAGCATGAGCAACGGAGTGAGACCTCAACTCAAAAAAAGGCATATTTTATGTTGCAAATATTTTAACCACAATTAAAAAGGAAAGAAAGTCTCTGTAAGTAAGGGGTACAATTACCCAAAGAAGACAAGGGGAGCCCCTATTTGGCCAGGACCTGCAGACAATGGTGTCCAGAACCGACTGGTCTAAGTGGGGGCTGTGCACTTCTAGTGACTACAGATGAAGTCACATTTTTACAAAGTTTTATAGAAATGCAGAGCTTAGTTTTGCTTTTTAAAGCTATGTTGTCACGCATAGGATGTTTCACGTGTTTGTTCTTTGAGGAAGAGGTAAATGTCCCCAATAAAATGGCTAAGAAACGGGCTTGAAGTGGGCTACCCCTCCATCTTTGCTTTAAAGAGAATTCCTCAGGTTCGAGGACATGTGCCCAAATGCGTCTCCACCCCATCATCAATCTAGACCTCACTTTCTTAACCTGGGGCCTTTCAGGCCCTGGGCCCCCAGAACCGACCAGGTCAGCTGCAGTATGTCAGGCAAACATTCTAGTGATGACACTGAGATGGTGTCACTGTCACTCAAAAACTGTGGGTGCTGTTTTCAGAGCATGGATCTCCAGCCTGCGAATCCTGCCATTTAGGTGAGGATGTCTGGCACACATGAAGGGTCCCCCTCACCCCATGGCCCCCAGGCAGCCCTTCATCAGGGGCTACAGAGAGTCTCTGGGTTTGGTGGTCACGGAGGCAGGGAGTTGTGTTCCTCTGATGGTCACCCATGTCCTGACTGCAGTGGCATGATCGTTCCTGAGAAAGTGTCTTTAATATAGTCAGCTACAGTTTGGGATAGGAAAAGTAAGATGGTGGCCAGGACTGCATTCTTGGGCGGCAGGAAGGAGTATTCCTTGGACTGCTCCCTCCTCAGCGTCTCCAGGGGTCAGAAACTGCTTCCAGTTCCCAGAGGTGAGCCAGGGCACTCAGGAAGCAGAAGGCAGGATGCGCTGGCCTTGGGGAAGCCAGGGCACCCTGAGCAGACACACAAGCCAGTAGAGAATGCTTCCCACTGGTGTGCAGTGACACGCTTGGCTCTGCACTTCAAGAAGGGAGAGTTCTGTCAGGAAGCAGGACCTCGGTGGGCAGGGAACATTCTACTTGAGGAACTGGGCCATGGACCCAGCAGTGGGAGGTCAGAGCTCGACCACACCACAGGAGAAAGGCAGGTAGGGTTTTCGCAGGGCAGCCCCAGGCTCTGGAGACCATGTATGGTTGCGCTCAAAGAGGATCAGCTTAGTGGGAAGGAGAAGTAGCAGGGGCTGGCAGAAGCTCCAGGTGCTCCCAGGGAGACCAATGCCAGGATGGGGCGAAGGTGTGGAAATGGGACAAGGAAGAAGTGGCCTCCTTGGTCCTGTGGAGGCAGGCTGACCCTGCTTGGTCAACGTGTGGTGCCATGCTCCAGCCACCACAAATACCCCCACCCCTGTGCCCCACTGGCCACTGCTGCACAGAGGGGGCGGAGCTACCGAGGCACTACCGAGGATCACGGGGCCCAAGCCGAAGGCACAAGGGGCACGGGAAACACCCAGGGAAATGTTTAACACCTCTTCGCCAAGGAAAATAAAAACCAGCCCCAGCTGCCCGGGTCAGCTGCAATGTCAGGCAGACATTCTAGCAGTGACACTGAGATGGTGTCACTCAAAAAAGCTGCGGGATCTTTAGCCATGAGTTTTTACAGAGACTTGAGAACAGTCAACAGTGCAGGTTTTTGGCCAAGCTAAGCTAGACACCAGCCGGCATGGTGGGGGCCAAGGACCCTCATCAAGCCAGTTGCCTGGGCAGTGGCCACCCTCGTCTCCCCTGGATGGCACATGAGGAGGTCTCACATACAGCATGGGGGATATCTCAGCCAGAGACGAGGGGAGCCTTTGGGTGCCAGGGCAAGGGTTAAAGATCTCTCAGGAAGGGCTGAGTGGTGAAGGTGTGGGACAGAGGAGCCATGGGACCAGCCAGCCCTGTGACCTTCAAACCTGGAAAGAGAGAGCCCAGGCCTGGGGCCAGCTCACAGGTGACACGGAAATCTCCTTCCCAGGAAGTGAATTGATGGGTCAGTGAATCTTCAAGGAGCACTAGTGTGCAAGCACTCATGGTAGGGATGGATGAGGTAGAGGAGAGGGGGTAGAGGAAGCTGTGTGCAGGAGAGGACCTGGCCCTGGACAGAGTGAGGGTTGGCAGGGTCAGAGAAGGAAGAGCTGAGGTCTGGAGTGGCTGAGGGAGCCTCGCCAAGAGCGTCTGAACAGGACCCAGGCTCAGGCTCCATGCAGACCCTCCTGTTTGACTCTCCCAGGACCCCGTGCTCCCTTTCACAGATAGGGCAACAGCTGCAGAGAGGCGGTGCCACCTCCCCACAGTCCCACAGCAAGCATGACAGCCAGGAGAGGACAGGCCAGCAAGTGGTGCCAGCACAGGCAGGATCCGCCGGGCAAAGGCCCGGGCCGCAACAGGGTCGTGTGCAGAACAACAGGAAGGCAGGGTCTGCAGGGGCCAGGTGTGAGGCTTGGGAACCACACAGAGGAGTCGGCTGGCTGTGGAGGAGCCGAGGCCTGAGTGGACAGAGGAGCCAGCGCTGCCTGCGGTAGCTCCTCATCTCAGTCGATCCTGTCATGTTAAAGGAAATGGAAATGTGTCCCCAGAGGTCCCTCTCCCCCGGAGTTGGGGCCAGGCTGAGGGCACACCCGGTTCTCATGCTCTGTCCTCTCTCGCCTGGACAGGCTGGTGGAAGAGGACGTGGAGTCGGGGAGGCCTGGAGTTTCCCGTCCTCTGCAGACTTCCTGCTCCTCTGTGGCCTCCTTTGTTTATGATCCCAGTGTGGGGGTCGGGTGAGGGGCAGTCGGGGCCCCTAACTCCGCTGGACAAACTGCTGAGCGGGGAGGCCGCTCTGCTTCCTCCCTTTCTTTCCAACACGAGGCCAGGAAGCAAGGCGTTCTCCCGGCAGCCCCCAAGAAGTCCCCATCCTGTTCACCATCCCCTGCTCTCCACCTCCCAGGGCAGGAACCCTGGGCCTGCTTCTGGGGCCGGGCAGGCTCCGGTTTCCCGGCAGGGCCGGAGAGGGAGAGGCAGAGGGGGGGCCGGCAACGCCGGTGCTGACTGCACCCAGAGGCGGCATGGCAGGCAAAGATAGGATTGCCAGGCGTTCGGCTGAGGTGGGGGAAGGGAGAACCTGCCAGCTGGCGGGACGGTCCAGGAGGCTAATGCTTCTGGACATTGAGCAGACAGGGGAGTCTTTCAGCCTGACTCTGCTGGCAGCTTCCAGAAACCACGCCCTTCCCTCTCATCCTGTGTTCAGTATGTGGACCCAGCTTGGCTGGATGGGTTGGGGGCACATCACTGACCCACCTTGGTGGAGGCTGACTGTGTGTCCCTCTGTGGGGCCACCCAGACGTTGGCAGCCTTGAGTCTGGGCACCCTGGTGAAACAACATGGACAGGAAACAGACTGATGTTCCCTGGGCATCCACCGAGGACAGATGCCCTGCGCCCTTACAACCCTGAGAGGCATTACTTCCATTCTGCTGATGAGAAGACAAGCTCTCTGGCTTGACTTCCCTCTCCTGAGATGCCTGGGATGAGTGATTTCACCTTGACACTTCTCCATGCCTCAGTTTCCCCAGTTGTAAACCATGCCTAATCCTCATGGGATCTTAGTGGCTGTTATAATCAGGAGATGCTCAAAGAGGTTCCCTCACCTGCTGGGGGACACACATCAGGGAACAGGGCTGCACACCCTGCTTGCCTGACCCAAAACCACGCTCTTCCACGGCCACACCGTCTCCTGCTCCTTCAGGGTCTTCTCCCTGCTGCCATGGGGACCCACTACTTGGGACACGGAGAGGGTGCTGTGCCCGAGGGCAGGCAAGCACAGCACAGCGCCTGTCTTCCATCCAGCCTGGAGTAAGGCCCCAGGAAAGATGGGCTCCAGCTCAGAGCCCGCTGAGCCGACTGACATTCGAGGCGGCTCCGGCCTGTGTGTGCCTCCCTCCCTCCTCCTCACTCCTCCCTGGGGGTGGGGGCAGGATGGCGGTGGCAGTGAGGACAGGAAACAGGCTGCTGCGTGCCCAGCACTGCCCTCCCAGCAGTACAGACGGCCATGGATGTGGGGCGGAGCCTGCAGCCTCAGGACTCTGCCGCCTGCTGCGAGGAGTGCAGGGGGCGGCGGGCAGCCCCTCCACGCCACCGGGGGCACCAAGGGGAGCGTCCCCCAAATGCCACTGCTCTTGGCCTTGCCGCTGTTCCTCCAGGCAAGCCGGCCTGTGGCTGACTCCGCCAGTTGCTATGGAAACAGAACAGGAAGGGGAGGGGACAGGCAGATGGGTGGGCAGAAACCAGGCAGCCACCATCAGGCACGTGCCCCATGGCCTAGACCCCTGCAGGGTGGGGAGTATGGCAGGGAAAGTCCCGCCCTCCAACTCCCCAGTCCGCCTGCGGCACCCAGTGAAGCCTGGCCCAGGGGGTGTGACTGCTCAGCTCAGTGGCTCAGGTGTGCTGCCCTAGGGCCTCCCGCCTCACCACCGGACTGCGACAGCCACAGCTCGCTCTTCCCGCACGGCAGCCTCGCATCACGTATAGGGATGAGGCCTCAAATCCCATCACCAACCCCATTTCACAGATGAGGAACCTGAGGTGCGGCGAGACGAAGCTACTCACCCAGGACACACAGCTGCTGAATGGCAGCGCTGCGGCTCAACCCACAGAGCACGACCTAGAACCCCGGCCCTAGCGCCCAACTCGCGTCCGTGAGGCCTTCACCAGTCCCACTCCTCTCCCTCTGCTTCAGAAGCTGTCCCACAAGCCCAGAGGCAGCAGCCGTGGTCCGACGGCTCCCAAGAGCAAGAAAGCCTCTGGTCATGGTGAGCCGGCTGGTGTCAGAAGTCACTCCTGTGTGTCAGGGACAACGGCCCGAGAGGAAGCCCGCTCGGTACCCATGCTCCCGTCCTGTGCCATCTGCTCAAGCCTGGCTGCGGACCTTCCTGCCCCAGAGTCTGAGGGTGCCACTCGAGCACACCGGGAGAGACGGCTCACCCTGCAGGCCGAGACTGCGTCCACCCACAGGCAGAACGCCACCGACGGCAGCAATGTGCCCAGGCCTGGTGCCCAGGAGCTGGCACAGCACTGGGAAGGGCCTGGAAACCCTGAAAACTCACGCCCAGGCACTGCTTCTCAGAGCAGCCAAGCGTCAGACCATCTCACTGTGCCAAAGCTGCTGGCAAGCATATGGGCCCCAGGGTTGCCGAGGGCCTCTGGGACATTCAGTGGGAGCAGGTGAGGGCTGAAGCGAGGTCCTTGCTGATCTCACTGGGCAGGATAGAGTTGGAAGGAAGTCAGTGCAAGGAAGCAACACTGGTTGCCCACAAGTGCTCTGGGCATTTAGCTATTTATTTAGAGACAGGGTCTGACTGTGTCCCCCAGGCTGGGATGCAGTGGCATGATCATAGCTCGCTGAGGCCTTGAACTTCTAGGGTGAAACAATCCTCCTGCCTGGGCCTTTCAAAGCACTGGGATTGTGGGTATGCGCCACCACACTCGGCCTGCTGTGGACATTTTAAATTCCGCTCAGTCCCCATGGATTTGCTGATCAGAGGCCATGTGGATGGGAACAGCGAGGAAAAAACCGCCAGCGAGGACTCCCACTGCAGGTGTGCAGGCTACAGGAGGGCACGCGTGTGGACGGGTATGCTCCCGTCCTCAGAGCTGTACAGCCCAGACCGCAACTTGGGGGAGAACCCACCATGTGTGAGGTATGGTGGAGCATCGGGGTGGGATGGAGAAGCCCTTCCCGATGGGAACCAGTGGGGCAGAGAGGGGCTGCCTGGAGCCATGAGGGGCAGGAGGAATGTTTTGTGTTGTTTTTTTAAGTGAAACCTGAAGTTTAAGAAAAGTGAAACGGAATGAGGCTCTCTGGGCAGCACTGCAGACCCACACTGGCCTCTGGGAGTCTTTCGTCATGCCAGCGGTGGCCAGCGCTGCCCATGGGAGAGTCTGTTCCCTGGACAGTCACCGCCAGAGCCCTCCAGCAGTGCCCCTACCTTTGGGCTCCAGGCCGTTGGAATTAAAGTGCATCCTCTTCTGACACTCCGTGCAGCTCATCAGGAAGCGGGTCACGGCCTCTCTCGGGAGGAAGGCATAGGTCTCAGCGATCTGGAGAGAGAAGAGCTCTGCTCATCTTGTGGATCCATGGAGAGGCAACTTGCTACCGGGTCACCAAGGTCTGAGCATGGTGGCAGGCACTTTGGTCCTTGTGAGGCATATCAGGGATTTGAGGAGCAAGGGGCAGGTGTTCTTGACCCTCAGCTACGGAAATGAGTCAGTACTTTTGTGGAAAACCATGTTTTAAAAAATATGAATAATGGAAGTCAAAATACAAAAAGCAAAGCCTTTAAACTATCTGATCTTTAGCCTGTGCTCTTTTTTTATTTCTTGAGTTGGGGTTCACTCTGTTCCCCGGTTTGGAGTACAGTGATATGATCATGGCTCACTGTAGCCTTGCCCCCCTGGGCTCAAGCGATCTCCTGCTTCAGCCTCCCGAATAGCAGGGACTACAGGTGTGCACAACCACGCCTGGCTAATTATTATTTTTTATAGAGATGAGGTCTCGTTATGTTGCCCAAGCTGGTCTCAAGCTCCTGATCTCAAGCAATTTTCCCGTCTTGGCCTCTCCAAGTGCTGGGATTATAGGCGTGAGCCACCGTGCCTGGCCAAACCTATGTTCTAACAAGTAATACTCCTCTCAGAACATTTTATTGCTGCTACTGAAAAATGAGGTTATAAACATTACTCTAGGGTAGGGTCAACAACTGTCCCTCTCAGACTCGGGAGGATTGAGACCTGCTTATGAACTCACTGGCCCTGGGCCTACGCACAAAACCGAGGTCCTGTGAGCTATTTCCTACGAGAGCTCACAGATCAAGAATCTCAGGGAGAGCTGTGAAGGGCTGGTCCAGGGCATCAGGTTTTTCCAACTGGACAGGCTCTGAGATCCCCCATGCTCCCGTGACTGATGCCCAGAGAAGTGGACTGACTCCCTAGGGCCACACAGCTCTTTAGAGGTAGTGCCAGACGAAAGCCATGTTTCAGGTCCCACCACCCCAAAGCTGCCTGCAGAGGGCCTCCCCCATCTAGGGAGGAGAGAAGGGGTGGGGGAGGTAGAAACAGAAGGGGGGGACCTCAGAAAAAGGCTGGACAGGGAGTGGGGAAGAGGCAGGTGTGGGCCCAGTCTCTCTCCTGCTCTGGTTTTTTGGTTTTTGTTATTTTTTTTTTGAGTTGGAGTCTCACTCTGTCACCCAGACTGGAGTGCAGTGGCTGCTCCCGGCCACTGCAGCCTTGACCTGCTGGGCTCCGGCGATCCTTCCGCCTCAGCCTTCCGAGTAGCCGGAATTACAGGCGCTCGCTACCACGCCCGGCTGATTTTTTGATTTATTGTAGAGATGAGGTCTCACTGCCCAGGCGGGTCTCGAACCCTCGGGCTCAAGCAATCCACTCACCTCAGCCTCCCAAAGGCGCAGGATTACAGGCTGCTCTGGTTTTTGGGAAAATTGCCAGCCGCCAGTACCACTGCCGGCCACTGGCTGTCACACACTTCTCCGGAGCCTGGGTCCTCCCGCTACTCTCCACTAAGGGGCAGCATCGCCCAAGCGTTCCCCGTTCCACCGCCTGTGCTGCAGCCGCGGCCGGGCAGGGAACTTGGCCGGGGGCGAGGCGCTGCTCTGGACTGCATGGGCCCTGCCTTCCCTGGGGACAGCGGCTGCTCCTGCTCCTCTGGGGATGATCTCAACAGCCAGGAGGTGGGAGCAGGGGAGGGCGGGGGGGTTGACTGGGGGGTGCGGAAAGTTGGGGCAGGCTGCAACCAGGCCCTCACAGGACAGGCTCGGGCCGGGCTCCCAGCCTGGCCCACCTGCCATGCTGGGGGGGGGGGTTGTTTTTGGTGGCACATTTGTTACTTCTCAGCGGATCTGATGCTCCATGGAGCAGGCAGGCTCCTTGACGAGTTATCTCCCTTCCAAACTCCCTGTCTGATGCCTTCCTCTGGAGGTCGGGGCAAGGGCAAATCCTGGACCTCTGACTGGAGCCAGCGGACAGGAGAATGACAGTCAGGGATGCAGCTGGCTCTCGGCGGGGAGGGGCACCTTTCTGCCGCGCACACACGGAAGAAGTCTGGAGGCAGCATGTTTCCCTCAGTCTGCTGGGTGTGCCCAGCAGGAGGACGACGGCTACAGGAACAAGCGGGCAAGAGGGAAGGGCGTGTGCTGGGTGGAGCGGAGGACTGTGGCTGACCTGGGCCAGCAGACGACCCCCTCAGCTCCCCTGAGATGCAGTACCCTGGGTCCGGCTTCAGGAGAGCTGAGTGGAGGACGTGGGGAAGAAGCCTGCACAGCCAGCGGGCAGAGGGAGGCAAGGCCCACACCTCAGGCAGCCCTACTCAGTCACGCAGAGCTGGCCATGGGCAGAGAGGAGTTCTTCCAAGGGTGCGGGGAGGGCCTGCCACCACGGGCTCTGTTGAGGGCTGCACACAATGCTCAGGGCCCTGCTTGCCCCCATGCCTGCTGCAGGCACAGGAACGGCTCCCTCTCCAGGGGTGAGTCCTGGCCTTGGCAGGGCCCCCAGCACCGTGCAAAGGCTGACTGGTGTGTCCCAGGGAGGGGTGGCACTAGGCATACACCTTCTGGCCCTGGGTCCCACAGAAGGGCCGGAGGGCCAGACCAAAAGCTGGCAGGTGAGGAGGTCTTGGAGTGTCCAAGGACTGGGGAGGGATGGCCCACCCTGCACAGCTGGGAGTCAGTAAAGCGCAAGGCCCATCCCAGCTCTGCGCTGCTGGAGGGACCCACCTGGAGGAGGACACGCCCCCTCCCTTTCCCCCACCTTCTGCAGGCATCTTCTGGTTCACCTTCCTGGCTTGCCCAGGACCAGAAACAGGACCTCCCTTTCTGTTTGCGTGCATGGATGCCACGGGACTACCTGAGCCGAAACCAGGAGGACAATCCCAGCAGATACCCTAGTCAACAGGATGGTGGTTTTCAGACGGTTTGAGAGCTGCAGACCCTGTTCTAGAAATAGACTCTGATGCTGAAGCCCAAACATGAAACAGATAAAGTTGGAAGCGCTGTGTTGGGGGGGGCGCCCCAGGACCCCTGGCTCTGCCAGCTGCCCTCAGCTCCCTGGGCTGCCACCATCTTGCTCTCAGGCCTCCTGCCTGGACATTGAGACCCACATGTGAATGTGCCTTTTGCGCTTTTCCTAGTGGCAAAAACGGAGACTTCACCGGCAGGGACAGCAGGAGCTATTTGCAGAGTCGCTGACTCGCAAGGCCCCATTTTCACTCCCCACTCCGAGGCCGACAAAGACAGATGAGGCCAATCGGGGGGATTTGCACCACTTTACAAGATCCTCCTTCTGCCCTGCGGTGGATTAGCACGTGGTGGGCCTGCAGCAGCTGCTGACCACATCTGGCCCTGACTCCAAAGTGGCCTGGGCAGCTAGATCCAGACTCTGGCACCCGATCTGACCTCCCAGCACCCCAGAAGACAGCAAGGGAGCGAGGGGCCAGCCTCAACCCAGACGGTGTAGAAGCTAGAGAAACAGGAAGCCCCTTGAGAGACGGACCGGCCTCTACGTGGGTTCAGGGGACTGTGTTCAGGGGACTATCCAGAGCCTTCCCCCACTGACGAGACCCCAGGGTGCTCTGGACCTCAGATCACAGAGCACCAGAGGCTGAGTAAGGTAGGGGCCTCCTACTCACAAGAGGACCCCTGCACTGTCCACTGCAAGTGGTCACCTCCCCCTGGCTCAAACATCTCGTCTCAGCAAGTCCCTCAGTTGCCCTGTCTGATCCACTGCTGGGCAGTGGTGGATGCCAGAAAGCCTTTTCCCACTGAAGAATGTGCCTCCTCTACTGCTCTGAACACGTCTGCCCCCTTCCTGCCAGCCCCCTGACTCCTACAGCACCCCAGAAAGAACCCAGAAAGCCCCGCTGCCCTCGAGACTAGGAGGCGGTCCCAGGATTCACCTTTGGCAAGACACACAGAGACAAATCTGAAAGTCCCCAGCCAAGGGCCTGATGCATCCCCCATGGGGCCAGGCTGTGCCCTCTGCAGCCAGCGGCAGGGGGTTCTCTGGGGGCTCTTTCCACAGGCCACAGACACGGCAGGGTCTTGTGTCTGTAGAGGGGGGTTGAGGAGCTAGGCTTGGGTGGGGGGAAATGGGAGCAGACGAAATGAGGGGGACAAAGGCATCCAGGCACCACCCCCTGCCCCCAAAAAAGGAAAAGGGTGGCATGAGAAGGGTGACAGATGGGAGGAGGAGGGGGAGGGAGAGGAGGCGCATGGGGGAGGGAGGTGCCGCCCCTCGGCCTCACACCCGCCACAGGAGGGCCCTGGCCCGCCAGCTCAGCCTTGGCCCTGCTGCTGAAATTCCAGCTTTGGCCCAGCCCCGCTGGCCCGGTGCCAGTCACGTGCCAGCTCCAGGCTGGGCAGCGGGAAGTGGGGCACGCGGCGGGCATATGGACCAGAAGCCAGGAAGTGCAGAGCAGAGGGTTGGCCGGCCGCTTGGGCCGGGACTCGAGCGTCCGCAGGACCGGCCCAGCCCTGCCTCCCGCCACACGGAGACTACAGACCCTGCCATCACAGATGCCCAGGGAGCGCCTGTGGGTGAGGTTTGGGACTGAAGAGGCTGGGGAAGTCGCATGATCTGCCTGGACAACAGCAAGTCTAGGGCTCACTCGCTGACCTCGGAGGTGGTGTGCGGCATTCAAGGTGCAGGATCAGGGGCCTGTAGCCTGGCTCTGAATGTCAGGAAGCGGCCTCGGGCAGGCTGCGTATCTCTCTGAGCCTCAGTTTCCTCATCTTAAAGTGGAGGTCACAGCAGCGCCTGCTTCCTATGTACAACCTTCACACGTGTGAGGCTCAGAGAGTTGGGGTATGGGAGGCATGGAGCCCAGAGCCTGGCACACACTAACTGCCCAGCACAATGGTACTCCTAATGCTGAGAGAATGTGCTGGTCTCTTCAGTCCCAAGAGGCCCAGGCGGGCCCTAGCCTGGGCAGCCCGCCCTTCTCCTATCAGCCTCTGGTAGAAATATCCTCGAACTCTCTTCTCACAAGTCACTTCCCAAAGCAGACCCTCTGAGCAGCAGGAGGGGCCGGGGGATGCACTGCTGTCCCCTGCTTCCCCAAGCCACTTCTCTGAGGCCCCTGGCACTGGGACCATCCTCAAGATCCACTAGGACAAAGGCCACCTTCTAAAGACGAAGACAAAGAAGACCGTTGTATTTTTAAAAACTCAGGCCATAAGGGGAAGTTATAGATTATACAGCCATCTCTACTGTAGTCCAAGGCTATTCACACAGAGAATCTGGGGGGGGGGGCGGGGGGATTTCCACATCTGCCTTGGGTAGGAAAGCCTAGGCACATCTCTGGAAGCTACAGAAAAAGTCAGCATAGAGGGGGCATGAGGACACTGGCTTGCTGCAACTCAGGTGCTATGTGACCTTGGGTAGGTCACGCAACTCTCTGGGTCTCAGTTTCCTTAACTGTGAAATGGGATCTCAGTGCCTTGGTCACAGGACTGCAGTAAGGCTCAAACGAGTATGGAGTGCTTGGTTTACTGGCTTTGTGATGGGTGCTGGGCAAACAGCTCAGGCTGTGCAAGAGCCGTGGCAGAGGCTCAGAGACGGGAGTCACCGGGGACGGGATTAGAACACAGGCGGGCCACTCTGCAGGGCAGGGCCTCTGCCACCACCTCCCCCATCTGTGGTGCTTCCCACCTCTCGATAGCTCTCTTCGGCCTCCCCAAAGCCACTTAGGTGTCACCTTCTCCATGAAGTCCCGGGCTCAGCACGGACCATGCGGTGTCGGCTGGACCCTCTGCAGAATGCCCGGATACCTGGGTCTTGCTCTCTCAACACTGGTCTTGGAGACATCTCTGATTCTCGGGTGTCTTGTTTTGGCTCAGCCTCCCACCCCAATCCAACTGCAGCCTCCCTGAGCGGGACCTCAGGCGTCCTCTGGGAACTCCCTGTCCTGACTTTGCAGGGGAACCAGATGAGCACACACTTGGGAGCGCTCGGGACAGGCTGGACAGGTGGTCAGCGCCACCCCATGGAAGCACTGGCTCCTTTGGTTATTATTATCGCCCCTGCCACCCCCAGCCCAGAACAGGCTACCAGGGGCTGGGGCGGACGCGAGTAAAGCAAACACGGGACAAGGAC